TGGTGGTTTGAAAATCACACAGGGCACGTGTGTGTGCATGCCCCAAACCCCAGGAAAAGAATGGAGAAGAGATTGCTGCATGGCTATCCCTCCTGGGGAGTGAGTTCTTACTTTCTCTCTCAATGTCTCACTCTGGTGAGTGCGCATGCCCTCTTTTTTTTAGGCAAAGTGCTTTTTTGATGATAGATAAATTAACAGATACACACTATTGTGAACTATTTCAGACAATACATAAAAAGTTTTGCTTTTCTCTTGTTAACAAAAGTTTATTATTTATAATTATTTTTCACATCCACCATCTACCAATCACTTTCCCCCTTACTATCGCTAGCATCCACACAATCCTCTCCACCATCACATCTTCAGATTTCTCAATTCTTGCCATAAAGTACAAGCACTCAGCACAAAACTGAATAGGGATATACAAAGTGTATCTTTTAAAGTTTGGCTCACTTTGCTTAACATCAAATCTTCCTTTTTTATAAAAAAAGAATTATTAATTTAATTTATTCATTCAGTCATTTTCATTTGACTGGAGAAAGACACACAGAGAGAAGGGAAGTGAGAAAGCAAGCCACCAGGTCTGAGACTCGAATCGTGGCTGGCCATGTGGGAGTGTCCAGTTTCTTAACCACCACACCACTTGCTGACCCAACATTAAATCTTTATTCATCCATTTTGAGTTGAATGATAGAATCTTATTGTTTCTTTTTTTAAAAAAATAATTATTTATTTTATTTATTCATTCATTTATTTTTTTAATTTGACCAAAGAGAGACAGAGGGTGAGAGTGAGAGAGAGAGAGAAAGTGAGAAAGCAAGCCACCAGGTCTGAGACTCGAATCGTGGCTGGCCATGTGGGAGTGTCCAGTTTCTTAACCACCACACCACTTGCTGCCCCAACATTAAATCTTTATTCATCCATTTTGAGTTGAATGATAGAATCTTATTGTTTCTTACAGCTGTGTAATATTCCATAGTACATATGTGCCACAGTTTTTCAACACAGTCATAAGTTTCTGGATACCTATGTTGGCTCCATGTTTTAGCAATTATAAATAATGCAGCAATAAACATGGATGTGAAGATGTCTTACCAAATGAGTGTTTTCCTATCCTTTGAGTAGATACCAAGAAGTAGGATCGCTGGGTCATATGGAAGTTCTATTTGTAGGTTTTTAAAAAATCACCAGAGGGGGAACCAGCAGTTAGCGTAATGGCTATGTCGCTGGACTCCCACGTAGTCGACCGTGGTTCGTGTCCTGGACCCGGTGGCTTAAAACTCACGCTGGGCGCGTGTGCGTGCGTGCCCAAGATCCCGAGAGGAGAATGGAGGAGAAGGGATTGCGGTGTGACCATCCCCCCTGGGGGGTGATTTCTCGCTTTCTGTCTCTATGTCTCTCTCTGTCTGTTTGGCGAGCGCACGCGCCCTACAGTGAAAATCTCTCCAAAAAAAAAAAAAAAAATCGCCAGAGGTTGGACTAATTTACATTCCTACCAACAGTATAAGAGAGTTCACTTTTCACAACAACCTCATCAGCACTTACTGTTTTTTTTTTAATTCTAGCCATTCTAACTGGGGTTAAATATCTCATTTTGTTTGTTTGTTTTAGAAGTTTCTGCTTTAGGGTGTATGTACTGCTGGGGAGGGGTAGGGGGAAGGGAAGAGAGAGAGAGACAGACAGACAGCACAGTGAGAGGGAAAATGAGAAATCACCCCCTGGGGGGATGACCATGCCACAATCCCTTCTTCTCCATTGTACTCCGGGGTCTTGGGTGTGTGTGCACACATACACACACACGTGAGATTCAAGCCGCCAGGTCCAGGAATGGGATTGTGAAGTAACCACTATGCCTTCTGCTGGTCCTATGTCATTATAGTTTTAATGTGCATCTCCCATATGATGGGAGACTTTGAACATTTATTCATGACTCTTGGCCATTCGTCAGTCTTTCTTGGAGAGTTGTCTATTCAATTTATTTGCCTATTTTTTAAACTGAATTATTCATCTCTTATGGGTGATCCGCTGAATTATCCATATAATCTAGATATTAATCCTTTGTTTGAGGAATACTTTGCAAATATTTTCTCCCAGAGCCTGGCAGAGCTCCATGCCCAGTGTTACCGGGGGTCCATTTCATTTCTTCGATAATCTCAACTTGACCTTCTTTGAGTGTCAGCTTTGTCTCCAGACTAAAGCCCTCGCTGTTAGGAAATAAGTTTTAGCAGCTACTGAGGACACTTTTCTTTTTTTATTTTTTAGTTCATGTTCTACAGGAGAATAAGCAAATTTTCTATGTAAACATACCATAGAAACCTACCACTTCATCTGTTCGGGCCAGCTCAGGACACAGGTCCACTCCTCTAACCAGTTACACTTCTTAGGGGAATGCCTAACAATAAAAGACTAAAGTTTGAGTTCCTAGCCCATTCACTGGAAAGGAATGTACTGAGTAATTAAGAGGAAGCAAGATATATATATATTTTTTTTTTGAGAGGTTTTTCGCTAGAGGGCGCATGATACTCTTGACAGACAGACAGACAGAGACATAGAGACAGAAAGCGAGAAATCACCCCAGGGGGGATGGTCATGCCGCAATCCCTTCTCCTCCATTCTCCTCTCGGGATCTTGGGCACGCATGCACACGCGCCCGGCGTGAGTTTTAAGTCACTGGGTCCGGGACGCGAACCACGGTCGACTACGTGGGAGTTCAGCGACATAGCCATTACGCTAACTGCTGGTTCCCGATATTTCAAAGCTGGGGATGAGGTTAAATTCCTTTGATTCATGGGCCTTCTGAATGGAGTGGACACCTAAAGAAAATCAGGGCTTTGTCAGGAGAGGAACAGGGGCAATGGAATATGGGGAAGTGAATTCTTGCCCTTATGAATCTAGGGAGTTGGCCATCTAAATCCTCTATAAGCAGGGTACTTGTTTGACATTTCTCTCTTTTTTTAACTAAAGGGTTATATAACTGTAGAAAACAATACTTAAGTTCCTCAAAAAATTAAAAATAGAACTATCATAAAACTGAACGATCCCATTTATGACTATACATCCAAAAGAACTAAAAGTAAAACCTTTTTTATTTTTCTTTTTTTGGAGAGGTTTTTGCTATAGGGCGCATGTGCTTGCCAGAAAGACAGAGACAGACAGCGAGAAATCACCCCCTGGGGGGGATGGCCATGCCACAATCCCTTCTCCTCCCTTCTCTCGGGATCTTGGGCACACATGCACACGCGCCCGGCGTGGGTTTGAGCCACCGGGTCCGGGACTCGACTACATGGGAGTCCAGTGACATAGCAATTACGCTAACTGCTGGTCCCCTGAAAGAAAGTAAAATCTTGAGCTATTTGCACACACAAGTTCACAGCAGCAATATTAATGATAGTGAAGTCCAAGTGCCCATCCACAGGTGAATGGATAAACAAGATGTGAAATATACTGGTATATCTTAAAAAGGAAGGAAATTCTTGGGACCAGCAGTTAGTGTAATGGCTATGTTGCTGGACTCCTATGTAGTTGATTGTGGTTCGAGTCCTGGACCTGGTGGCTTAAACTCACACCAGGTGCGTGTGCATGCATACCTAGGATCCCAAGAGGAGAATGGAGGAGAAGGGATTGCAGCATGGCCATCCCCCTGGGGGGTGATTTCTCACTTTCTGTCTCTGGCGAGCACACTCACCTTATAGCAAAAACTTTTCAAAAAAAAAAAAAAAAAGGAAGGAAATTGTGTCACATGCTATGATATGGGCCTTGAGGACATTATGCTAAGTGATATAAACCAGTCACGAGAACATAAATACTGTGAGCCCACTTATTTAAGGCTCATAAAATACTAAAACTCATATAAATAATGGGTTGTTGGAAATTTGTCATGCATTTTTTTGCACAGAAAAACAGAAAATTATTTCTTAGGAAGGTCATAATGTAAAGTTTAGTATCGTCTGTCATGACTTTCCTGACAACCCAATAGAAGCTAAAATGGAAATTACCAGAGACTGGGAGGAAAGGAAACTGAAAAAGAGAGTTATTTAATGGGTACAGCATTCATATTTGTAAGATAAAAAGTACTATAGATCTGTTACCCAAGAATGTTAATATATTCAAGACTTTGCACTACTGTACACTTCAAAATGGTTAAGATAGTAAATTTTGTTATTTTTTTAATACCACAATAAAATTAATTTCCAATGTGAAAAAATAAGTTACAAAACTTGCTTATAAATCCATTTTTAAGCAAAAGCATATTTCTAATAAAATAGAAAAAGGTACCTAAAAGTAGTAAAACTCACTTCAAATAATGCAAATAAAAAATAGAAATAAGGAAGACAATGTCGAAATAATCAATGATAAAAGGTTCTTTTTTGTTTTATTATGTGAAATACATGCAAAGTATACACGTACTTAAAACAGAGCACAGGAACAGAAACACAGTCCCAGAAATCCTTCAATAAATGCATGGTAAGATTTTCTTTTCTTATATATTCATACAGATGCTGTCCCACATTTTTTTAATTGCAAGAGAGTGCTCTCCCCCACTGCAATAGGGTGTAGTTACACTGCAATGGTCCTCCATTTCTCCATCCTATCGGGGTTTGGGGCATATATGTGCACATGCCCCGCACGTTTCTCAAGCTGATTCTAAGGTTTCAGTTCAAACCATGATCAGTCATGCAAGATTTGGCTACCTAGGCACAGGGCTTAACCACTATGCTATAAAGCTAGCCCCAGATGCTGCTTTTTTGTCTTTTCTCTCTCTCTCTCTCTTTTTTTTTTTTTTTTTTTTTTTTAGAGATTTTTGCTATAGGATGTATGTGCTCACTGGAGAGACAGAGCAAGACAGACAGAAAAGAGAGAAATCACCCTACGGGGGAATGGCCACACCACAATCCCTTCTCCTCCATTCTCCTCTGGGGATTTGGGGCACACATGTGCATGCTCATGGCTTAAGTTTTAAGCCACTGGGTCAGGGACTCCAACTACAGTCGACTGCATGGGAGTCTAGTGATGTAACCATTATGCCATCTGCTGGTGCCGCTGCTTTCTTATGTATACAAGCACAAGATGTAAAATTATCACACAGCTCTACCAATACAGGTTATATATATAATTGACAAATATGTCTGCAAAGTCATTTTCTTTTCAATCATGTTTTATTCCATCTTTAAAATCCCTTTCGTGTTGTCTTAAATTTTCATATATAATTCTAATTCTATCCGGGTTGGGCTTATTTTAGAATGAATCTCCTCTTCCAATTTTGTGGAATATTTATTGCTCTAAGACATTTACCCTGTGGCATTCATAATTCCTGGCACTCAGCCACATACATCAATGCTGGTTTGAGAGGCAAAGTCCAGGAATGGATTTTCTGGAAGATAATTCCTTCTATGTCCAATGAGAGGGAACTAGTTCAGTGAATAATGCAGTCACATGACAGATTGTGAGACAGCTATTAAAAAAAATTATGGGGGCCAAGTGGCAATGTAGTGGTAATGCAACTGGACTCATGTGGGAAAGGTCCTGGGTTTGTGTCCTAAGATGTCTCTGAGCATGCTGGGTGTGTACATGCTCGTGATTCAGGCTGACAGAGACTGCTGAAATTCAAAACTCAGTCTTAGGCAGCCAAAACCAGTCAACTGGAATGCACACGGTAGGTGACACTTATTTTCCTTAGGTAAGGAAGTCAACAGCTAATAAAACATATTATTTGGAAGAGGAGAGAACAGTGTCCTTTATTTGAATTTTTCAAAATTTACAGAAAAAGCCTGGCATAAGATTAAACAAAGTCCAAAAATTCACTTACATAGGGTCTAGCTTATAGTATAAAGCTTAGTATCATCTGGCAGCTGGTTGTTCACTTTGGCTAAGATGTCAATGGGGCAGACTGACAATCCTGTGCCTGGCTGAGGTTTCCAGGGCAGCAGGGACTTTGGGCATCTCCCAGTTAGCCAGCATCTGCTTCAGTTACTTATTCTGACACTGGAATCATTAATACCGAGGACACAGGATCTATGTGCCACATCCTTACTTACAAAGAGAGAGTTGCTGCAATATCTTTTTCCACTGGGATTCTCTCTCCCTTCCCTGTCATGGTTCTTCTGTGCAACTTTAACTCACCTCAAGTGAAGAACAGTGCTGAGTGGAGCATAGGAGCCAAGTGCCATTTGGATGACAGATGAAGTCACATGATGGTGAGGGTTTACTACACCTTATAAGAGTAGCTAACAGAGAGCTGGGGTGCGAGCTAATGGGAAATTAGAGGCAATTATGATGGGCATGGGGAGAACAAAGAAAGAAGGCTGCTCTGGCAGAAGGACTGTAGGATGATGTTTACCCTATGGCCTGGGAGTAGCAAGTCCCAGAAGGTAAGAGGATAAGCTGAATGCAATGCAAAAACCTGGCTTTGTCAGATCTAACAGGATTGATATGGATGGGGCCAAAGAGCACAGAGGTGAAATGTAAAGCTCTGTGAGGCTGACCCTCATGGGAAGGTTCTAAATTCGTGTCTGAAGACCTCACCAAGAAAGTGGAGCACATAATGTGTCCATGATTTAGGGCTTGCTGAAGCTGGGACGGGATCACAACATTAAGATCTTGCCGGTGGTGCTGTCTTTCTCTCTCTCACTTGTGGAAGAAATAAATAAAGTAAAACTTTAAAAATAAATAGGATTTATGGAAAAATGCTCACAATATAGTGTTAACTAAAAGTAATGTTGCCCAAAACCCCTGTGAACGTTGATTTCTACATGTTTGTGTTTTTTCTTTAAATGTATTAAGTGCCTATTACTGTGAGATAGTGAGGACAGGGTAGAAAACAGGAACAGATGGACATGATTTCTGTCCTTACAAGGTTTAGTTTAGCACAATAGTTTTGAAAGTAAATAAATGTTAAAACGATCGTCACTGGATATAGGACTAGGGATGATTTTATATCCTTTCTTATATATCATATTTTTATGTTTTATGTTTTCTACAATAATTATGTATACCTTTTTTAATGAGACACAATCAATACATCTTACATTTTAAATAAACAAATAGGACAAAGACATCTAAACAGAGACCAGGCTGTGGGGAACCAATTACATTCATCAGGCTAACAATAACTTTATTTATAAAACAGAGTACCAACTTTATTTATTCAGTTAGTTGGAAGTCTTATGATAGCAATGAAGGTTCAACAAAGAGGGTTAAGAATCAATCTTTGCCCATGAGGGATTAAACTCTTATTTATGTAGTGCTTGTGGCAGAAGGAGCTAGGGAATGGTTAGCTGACAGATAAACAATTAATTGCATTTCTTTGACGAATAAATAAGGGCTAACTAGAGGTGTATGAATTTACTAACATGCAATGTAGCTTGATGTAGCATAATATTTTCTATCCTCTAATTTGGGAAATGCTTCCAAGTCTTGGATAGAGATCTGGGAGATCTCTAGCACATATTATCAGCAGTACATTGCCAAAGCATCTCTTAGGGTGATAAAATTTGAGGAACACTTATGAATACCTATGCTAGGCTGACTTATGAATTTCTATAACAGAATGACCTTCTCCTATATTTTAAAAGTAGGGTAGAAGGAACAGTAGCAGATAACAAGCATGTATTTTGTGCCAGGCACTTTACATAGAGTATCTCAAGGGATCTTCAAAACTAAGAAGTATTATTACAGTTCTACAATCTCTTATCCAAAACCTTGGTGACCAGATGTTTTGGAAGTGAGAATTTTTTGGAATTGAGAAAGAAACAGAAATTCTTTGGGATATAATGCATATAATACATATTTTGTAATATTCCAGTGAGTATTCCCAACTGTACTTCGTAATGAAATACATTAACATTTCTGAAAAGAGATACACAAAAATTCACACTAAGTGGAATAAAGACCATAAATAATATTAGTTTATTTAGATAAGCAAACTAGTAAATTTACTGGTAATGACATCTGTGGGTAGATAAATTTACTGGTAAATGAAACAGGATAAAGATAGACCATATACACTATCAATTTCTTATTTCTTTTATCATTTTTGATAAAGCTTATTTCTAAGGACATTTTCCAGTAAACTTTAATATTTCTATAGATGAAAACTAACTCAAAACACACATACATGCAATAAATGTTTATCACTTCTGGATGCTTGAGAATCTTGGAAAGAAGGTGACACAAATATTACCGTTGTCTATGAAACCAGACTAGAGCTAGACATCTGATGAGCCAGAAAGAGGATTCTCACATGAGGAATAGATATTATCATAGAGTCTTTTTAGACTTTTCCCAGTATCATCTGCCTCCTCCTACATGGGCTTCTGTCTAATAAGTTTTTCTTTAATTGAGAATATTGCCATGAGCTCTTGCTCACTGATAAATGCACAACGTTCAAGGCCAGCAATTAATCGGTCACACATTTTCACCATATGGTCTATGGAGATTTTTTTGCCCATGCTCATAATATCATCATCATTACTGCTACTGTCTTCATACGGATCTGTATTTAACACCATCTCAGCAATTTCCCCATCACTCAAAGGTTGCACCACGGGTGCATCGTTATCAATGTTCAGCATTTCTTCAATGTCAGCTTCTTCTAACTTATTTACACTTTCAACTGATAAACTTTTTGCGTAAGTAATGAGTTTTGATATCATCATCTTTTCATTAGAGTCTCTAAATCCTTCAAAATCATCATCAGCAAGGTCATTTTCAAACATCATTGTAGCCCAAAGTCTGTGCCAAGCATTTGTTAATGTTAACTTATCAACGTCATTCCAAGCATTTGCAATTGCATAGATGGCATCCTTAAGACTAAATTCTTTAAGGAAATCCTGGATTTTCAGGCCTCTGTTAACTGAAGCAAGCATGCGGTTCAAAAAATAGTGTTTATATTTGCTTTTCATGGAACGTAGAATTCCTTGGTCACAAGGCTGTATTACAGATGTCACATTGGGGGGAAAGTAAATGCCAAAAACATTACTTTTCCCAAGAAGTTCAGGAGGGGGATGTGCAGAACAGTTGTCTAGGAACAACAAAATTTTGCAGTTGTCTTCCAGTCCGGCTTGTTTGCAATGAGCCCGTGCTGCTGGAACAAAGTGCTTATTGAACCAGTCAGAAAAGATTTCTCTTGTGACTGATGCTTTCTTGTTTCCATAATAATGCACAGGTAAATTAGGCACACTCTTTAAACATCTTGGATACAGGCTTTCTCCAATCACTGCCAATTTTATCTTGTGTGTGCCAGTAGCATTAGCACACCCAAGAACAGTTAACCTTTGCTTGGCATCCTTGAGATCTGTTGGTGTCCTTTCATCAGCCATTGTTAAGGTTTTTCTAGGAGCATAGCACCAGTACAGAGCTGTTTCATCAGCATTATAAATTTGTTCAGGGCTAAGGTTTTCATCAGATATGATCTTAGCAAATTCGTCTATATAATTTTCGGCAGTTTCATGATCAGCAGATGGTTTTTCTCCACAGATTTTAAGATACTTGATACCGTGACGCTTTTTAAATTTCTGTAGCCAGCCTTCTGAATATTCACACTCCCCTTCGATGTTCAGTTCTTCATGGTATATTCTAGCTTGTTTCATGACCAACAAACCAGTCAATGGCATGTCTTTACTTCTTTGTTGACGAATCCATTCAATCAACACACGGTCAAGATCTTCATTTTTGGCCCTATGCAATGTTTTTCTATTTTTCATTAGTTCTTGGTTATCGCTGTCACTGTAAAATTTCAACAACTTGTCTTTCTGTTTCTTTAAGTCATATATGGTGGTGGTTCCCACACCATATTCTTCAGTGAGACACCGTACAGACATACCGCCATCAAGCTTCTGAAGTAACTCTACTTTCTGAGCTATTGATAAAGACAGATGCTTCCTTTTCTTCTTCTCCCTGTTACCCATAGGTATATCTTGAACTCTTTTGGACATTTTCCAGTGTAATCAATCCCCAAATCACTGAATGTCAGCAGACAGCAGAGGCATGTGTGATTAATGGATATAAGTGTGAGACAACAGAGGCTTCTTATTTGTTCACTGCAGGTTGTATTGCCAAACAGTCCTGGTGCCAAACTTATGAAAAAACACTTTTGGGTTTCACAGTGTTTTTGTTTTTGTCTTATTTTGAAATTGCAGAGTAGAGATTGTAGACCTGTATTAAAAATATCATTTTAATGATGAAAAGACAGGCCCAATTAGTACCTTGCCTAAAGTTATGTAGCTATTAATTACTGTCTCTTCTGCTTCTATTCGGTTTCCCAAAATTTGATCACTCTACTGGACAGAATTTTATTTTTTCTTGTTACGGTCTGCCAAGATTATTTGAGTTGAAATATTTTTAGCAAGGAACCTGATACTCTTGGCTATTTGACTAACACAGTCAGTAGCTGGGCCCCATGCTGGATAACAAAGGAGATGCCTTGGCAAGAGATTGGAGACCCTAAGTTTAAAGTCATTGAATACAGATTTATTTTTCTTTTTATACCAAATGATTTGTTTGGTATTTAACTGCCTTGTTACTTATTGTTCCATAATGAACAACTGGGAAAAATGAAAGAAAAAGTTCATTTCAGCTATGGGGGTGGGGATGCTCAAAAAGTTCATAGAAAATGTATATTATGAAGAACTGCATGGATTTCAATTTATTTTTTTCTACTAAAATAAACTTATAGGGCCAGGCATTGTTGCAGTGGTAATACAGCTGAACTCACTTGGGAAAGGTCCTGGGTTTGCATCCTGAAACCACCCTGAGCACAACAGGCATGCATGTGTGCCCATGATCTGGGCTGGTTGAGAATGGAAGGTGAATCGCAGCCTCAAGACCCTGTTGGAGGTCTTTATCTCTGTCTGTCTTTCCCTCATGGAAGCATGAAATAGTACTAAAAAAAGAAAATCCAAAAAACAAAATAAACTTGAATTCTAATTTTCCACAGAATTTTTGAAGTCTCCTTGTATGTCTCAAGCACTTCACAACTATTTCCTAAATATCCACTCTTTGGAAAGTTTTTTGTTTTCTTGTTTTTTAACTGTTCTGCAAATTGTACATTCAGTTGTGACTTAGAATTATCGTTAATCAAGCTCAGAAATAAAACACATAAAATGTTTCCTTCATCCTAAAACCGCAGAAAGAACTCATTAGAATTTTCAGTGATATTTAAGCTTCTGTGGTTTGGGCCTTAATTTATGAGTTCCTACAGGGAAGCAACTTTTTCCCTTCATTTTCATCAGCTCTGTATTCGTTTGGATTTCCATCAACTGTCTAATATGCTGAATCATCTCTAAGCTGTCTTTCTTTTCCCATTGGGTACAAGACCAGTTCTTTGGGCTGGGAGTTTTTTTTTTTTTTTAAGAGGGTTTTTTTTTTTTTTTTTTTTTGGAGAGATTTTCACTGTAGGGTGCGTGCGCTCGCCAGACAGACAGACAGAGACATAGAGACAGAAAGCGAGAAACCACCCCCCAGGGGGGATGGTCACGCCGCAATCCCTTCTCCTCCATTCTCCTCTCAGGATCTTGGGCACGCACGCACACGCGCCCGGTGTGAGTTTTAAGCCACCGGGTCCAGGACGTGAACTGCGGTCGACTACGTGGGAGTCCAGCGACATAGCCATTACGCTAACTGCTGGTTCCCTGGGCTGGGAGTTTTACAAAAGTGAGAAAAGCACAGTTCCTGAAAGCTCAGAATAATTTAAAATCCAGTAAATAAATATTATATGAAAAATATATGAGATTCAACAAGGACTCACTTCCTGAAGAGAAGTGAGAAGTGCTTTGTGGGGTTAGATCGCTTTCATATTATTTTTCTACATTGGTCTCTCCTATTAAATTGTAGGAATAATTACTATTTACTGGGTACCCTGTGTGTACAAGGAAGGGCTGACACACAGAGAAACTAACATTTAAGAAGCAAAAGATTCAGCAAAAGATTCAGAAGGAGTTGACTTGGTGTCACAAACTTCTGACAGAACCCAGAGGCCACCTGTTTGATTGTAAAGTCCTATTTATTTCCCCTCTTATTTCAACATATCCTTTCCTTTGTGTTGAGCAAAGTCTGTATTCCTTCCTTTCCCTTCATTCTAGTCCCTTCTCCCACTTTATAAAATAAAGGCACACTCTTACTTATCTGGAATCTTATGAGGCATTGTCCCAAGGCATATAAATCTCTTAGTTGCTCAGCTAAGGGATAATTCATGTAATTCATTTGGAGGAGATCTCCCTATGCAATGAATGAAAGCACATGAAAGCCTGCCTAACATCTGTCTTTCTAATGTATACTTCTGTTAAGGCTTAAGTGCTGTTTTAGAAACAAGGTGTTTTTTTTTTCTTGTTCATGTATTTTTAAGATATGTTAGTCTTGGGCTGGCCCCATAGTGCAGTGGTTAGGTGGTGTGCACTATCTGTGTCCTGTCAGCTTTAAAAAACCAAACTGGTTACTTGCTGGGTGAACCCGAAATCCAGATAGGAAGGAGAAATGGAGGAAAGAGGACTGCGGCATGACCACGGCCTGCTGAAGGAGGGCTTTTTTCTCTTTCTCTGTGGAAAGCATGTGCTCCTCTGGCAGGTAAAATTAAAAGAGAAAGTTTGTCACAAAATTATTGATATGAGATCATATTTCAATAATTATTAATAATTTGATATCTTTTCTTGTGCTATTTATTTTTTAAAAATTGGTTATGTTCTGTGTGTTCATATACTGGCTCTGCTACTCAATGATAAGTTCTTGGGTATGCCACTTAATTTTTCAGAGTTTTTGACTTTTTCTTCCTATTAAATGAGAAAGTTGAACAGATCATTTGTAGCTTTCTTTATGTCCTTAGTATTCTTTATCTCTGTGACTTTAGCTTATAAACATTCCCTTAGATGACAGAAAACAAAAACCATCTAAAGATATTATTTCTTTTCTTTTTTCCTTCTTCCCTCCTTCCCAATATTATGAAAATCTTGGTTGCATACCACAAAGATGATATTTTTTGAGAAATTTATTGAAATTGGTGTCATTACTTTTATAATTAATTACACTAAATACATAGCTTCCTTTAACCAAAAATAATCCAACTATTTATGACATTATTTTCCCTAGTAATTAAAATATGAAAAGCATAGAATAAAAAGATTTTCTAAAATAAAATACCATATTGGTATGATCCTAATTCCTCCTTCTGAGGAAGCTAGAATTCTGTAATAGCCATGAGAAATAAAACTTGCTAGAATGAATCAAGAGGCCTGTGACAGCTTTTGAAAAGTATGTATGAGGACCCTCAGCACTGCCCTATGCTGATATTTTCATTACGAGGCAACATGATGTGTGTAGTGTCATTCTGATTTTAAGTAGTTCCATTTGGCAATATAGTTTTCCATATTTGCAATAGTATGAAAAATGTTAGTACTGTACTTTTTTTCCTTACTCCACACATCCCTGCAGTCAGATATATCTCTGTTGACGTGTGGAGAATTGAGATTGTTGTACCACAGATACAAATAAAAGAGATAATTAATATTCAGTTGATTGACTTCCAAAAAGGGCAGAGAATGAGGAGGAACCCACATGAAGAGCTGGTTGCAGGTCATCACTGGAGAGCTATTAATAATTCTAAGCCAAGTGCTTGCAGACCATTCCCTATCTTGTCAGCGAGCATGTCATTTTGTGTAGAGGAGCAAAGGGTGCTTTCACTGTCAAGCCATTACAGTCACCTGTATTCAGCCTTTGGTCTCACCTAGGTGAAGGATGCTCCACATGCGTGGAAGCCTTTGTGAGGTTCCTAATTAATTGTTCTCTATGGCTTTCACCTTTGTCAACAGTCCAGGATACTAGTAAACTTTTTCAAAACAGTGTGAATTCCTTCACTACAAGAGGACATCAAAGATGCAATAGAAGCAAAGCCCCAGCTATGACACTTCGAAAGGTTTAGACAGTGGGAAACTCATTCTTGGTTATATGTACATATATTTACGCTGCAGAAATAACAAGGGTGTGAAGACCAGATGAGATGTCATATAAAAAAGCCCATAGGACTAATTCATTTATACATTTAAATAACAAACATTTATTGACTACTTAATGAAAACCATGGTTATATTTAGCTCATATTTTGAAACCAGGTCCTATGTTGGATACTGGGTATCCAAAACAAAATACAAAAAAAAAAAGAAAAAAAAAGAGGTTACTATCATTATTCTCAAGGAGGTCACAGGAGCTAGAGATGCTACACATTTATAAGACTTCGTTCATTTTACAAGTATTTATTGAACACCTACTATGTGCCAGGGATTCTTCTATGTACTAGGGATATGGTGGTGATAAATTTTCTGTCTTATTGTGGTGAGGAATACATAGCATAAATAAATAAATACATTAATTTCAGGCATTCTAAGTGTTATGAAGGAAGTGAAATAGACCACTGTGATATAAAGTGACTAGCTGAGGGGTGGTGAGAACAATGTGAGGTATGGTGAGCAAAAATGGCGTCTTTGGACTGGGTATATTTAATATGAATACAGAGAAGGAGTTGGTCATGCAAAGACATTTAGGAAAAATAGACAGAGGGAACAGAAAGTGCAGGTGGTCTGAGGCAAGTACCAGTTTAGTGTGTTTTAGAAAAATGGTCAGTTAGTCTCTGTAGGCTCAGGAGTGGAGAGCCTCCTTCACAAAGACGATGGGCTCTTACACAGATGGACATGATACACAGAAAGTGCTTAATAAAAGAATGCTTCTCTCTGAGATACTACATCTTAAAAAGAATGTTAATTATGAATTTAAAAAGAGCTTCTAAGGAAATGTCCTACCTTTCCACACTTCAGGTCTTACTTCGTAGAGGCAACCACTCTGGATTTACTTGAATTCTTTTGATACTTATCATACTTATCTATAATAACATGCTACCATTATCTCTTCATTTATTAATTATAGATATTATCTGTTTACTTCCTACAGTGACAGATCAACATTTTAAACATTTAGTTCAAGACAGTTACAGTGTTTTTTCCCTGCTCTTCTCATTATCTTTGCATGTTTAAATATGCTCAAACGTCAACATTCTGTTCCTTCATATTTTGATTCCCACTTTGTAACACTGAGATATTATAGA